CGCCCCGGAAGCCCCTCCCCCTCCCCGCGCGCGTTGCCGCGGGGACGGGGGCGGGGTCTTCCGCCGCCCTGAGGCGCGGGCGGGGCCGGGGCGGGGGCGGGGGGCCCCGCCTTCCTTCTTCCCGCCTTCCCGCTTTCCCGCCTTCCTTCCTGCCTTCCTTCCTTCCCGCCCGGCGGGGCAGCCGCCCGCTGCGTGCCTGTACGTACAGAGACACGCACCGGCAGCCGTGGCAGGGAGGCGTATTACTAAACCTGTTCATTTAGGCATTACGACAGTAGTTGCAATGGCTGCGGCGCCCAGCCCAGCCACCGGGCGGGCGTTGAGGAGAAGTGGGCCCCGGCCTGTTCGGTAGCCCTGGGTGAGGCAGCGATCTCCGTGTCCCTGGAAAAGGGGGGGGAATAGGGACTTTGCAAGGTGCCAGGACATTAATTCAAAAAATAATGGGGAGCTGCTGGACAGCTGCGGTAACAGGGCCCCCCTTTAATAGTTGGTTTTACTGAGTTGGTTGCACGCCATGATTCTCCGGAAAAAACTAACCGGAAAATGCAAATGGCCTCTTTCCATTTGTACAGCAATCAAACATCAGACTAAAAGTCCCCGATTCCTCCTCCTCTGAATCGCCCCTTTGTCTAGCTGGCAGAGCACGTCAACGTCCTCTCGCCAAAATCCATCGGGCAGTGGAAAAAGCCACACCGCCTTGAGCGAGCACTGGACCGGCCCTGACAAACCCTGTGTTTACATCTCCAGCTGGTAAACAAAGTAGAAACTTTTTTTTTTTTTTCATTTTCAGATAAAAACTTGGGTCCCTTTGAAAGGAAGCTGCCAAATTAGTGCTTAAATTCCAGTGCCCCAATAAAGAAAGTTCAAATACCCTGAGAGTGTTTAACTTTAAGGAGAAGAAATTCTACATCAATAGACAAAATTGCGGATAGCTATGAAATGCTTAAGCATAATTAGAACAGCAATCACTACGCAATTAGTACGAGATCATCATCATAATTACCCTTCATTAGAACTTCTGCCCAACAACTGCCACGTGAAAGCATCGGCTGTAGTTGCGAGAGTAACGGCACGGCTGAGGACACGGCTCAAGCCACGTGCCAGCGCTGGGGATTTGGGAGGCGCAGGAACATCAGAATGAGCTTTTGGGCTGCCGCGGGGGCGGCCCCATCCTGCGGGTGGGGGCTCCTCTGCCAGGTTTCGGTGTCATGCGACAGCATTCCTAGTGTTTTTCAACACCCTCATCCTCAAACTGGGATAAACCAAATCTAAATGTAAAGTAAAAAGCTTTGCTGAATTGATGTAGCGGTACTTAACAGTCCCCAAATTAGCTTCTGTCACTCGAATAACCATAGCTGCTGTCTGGCTTAGCCTTTGCATATCCGCTATAAATAAATGGCTCACTAAGATATGGATGGCTTTAGCTCATGCAAGAGCTTACCTACTCAAGAAAACGCATAGGCAAAGGATTTGCAGATTTGGGAGCCTTTTATTATTGAATTCACATAAAACACACTCATAATAAAAGACACACTGTTCTTTCCCACTCTTCTGCTTATTGAAAGTAAAGACGTGTTATGGAGATGTCCACCACAGCACGAGTTCACATCTTCATGAGAACAGACAGGTGAAATCTGGGTCTGAGCTTGCCTAAATTTCCACAGTTGGGCATTTTTTCCCCAGATCCTGACTTTGTAACCCAGGTCCACCACAGCTTGCCCTTTCCTTTAAAAATTTGTGGGGGAAAAAAATGGAGCTTTGGCATCTCAGCTGCAGACACGATCCCCCTGCCCTCCTTGAGGGTCACTTGTAGTACTAAGACTTCTCCAGAGCCTTTGTATCAGCATGATGTTCCTGCTCAGTCATGGGGGCAGATAAAATAGAAATAAAAGGGTTTTCATGGTTGCTTCATAGTTAAATTGCCTTTTTTTCCCCCAGAAGGTCCCTCATAACAGCTCTCATTGCTAATACCTACGTCAAAAAAAAAAATAGTCTCCCCTTTGACACTGAGGTGAGACACTAAAAACTTGTTATTTCAGAATGTCAGCCATGAAATGCGCTCTGTCGGGCTGACACATATTTTGAATGCATCGCTGATTGTCAATGCAGAAAACTGTCAAAGGCTATATGGCCTTTGAACAAGAAAACACTTTCATATACTACAGATTTGTTATTTTTCAAAACAGGCAAAGAATCTGGCTTTCTTAAGCCTGTACCAGTGACATACCAGGTTTGGTTCTGGAAGACT